AAAAACCCACCATCGTGAAACAGGTTTAACATTAGGAAAAGTGGCAGGGTTGTAAACCTACTCTCCACAGTTATTTGGTATTTATGCTTATAAAATACTCTGAGATCTGAGAGGCTGGATTATAAGAAGAAGAATATGACATCATGATTGGAGAAAGATTCATCAACAATATGAAATATGCAGATAACACAACAATTTTTACAGAAGACAAGAAGACTTAAAACATGTGTTGATTAATCTCAAAGACTGTGGTCTTCAGTAAGAATCAAACCATCAAGAAATCAAAATCTTGTGCAAAAATCTTGAGGACAAAAACCAATGAATGGTACCTTCTAAAAATTAAGTCCCTGTATGTATTAAAATCTTTTTCCAAGAGGGTGAAAATAAAATCTACAGACTGAGGAAAAACATTTAGCAATGACATCTTGACAAAGGTTTCCTAATGAAAGTTTACAGAATACGAAAAAGTGTCCAAAAGGAAAAGACTCATGATCAACCATGAAATGGGCAAAAGACATGGAAAGACTTTTCACAGAGGAAGACATTCAGATTTGAACTTGAACATGAGGAATTGATGCTCTGACCCATAGTCCACCCCTGGCCTAGTGTTTGTTTGTTTTTTTTTTAATTGACGTTTTAATGAAAGTTTATAGAACTTGGATTTCCATTAATTCATTTTTACACATTTTCCTCCCTGTCCCTCCAGTTCACTTTTCTCTTTGAAAAAACAAAACAAAACAAAAAAGAGAAAAAAGAAAAAACAAAACAAACACCACCAACACTCTCAATGCTATCCACTACTGGGAATATACCCTAAAGAAACCAGAAATGCCACCCAAGCATATATATGCACACCCATGTTTATTGCTGCATTGTTCAAAATAGCAAAGAGTTGGCAACAACCCAAGTGCCCATCAACAAACCAATGGATAGAGAAGCTGTGGTATATTCACACAATGAAATACTATGCAACACTGAAAAACCATGAACTCATGAAATAGTGTACCAAATTGGTGACCCTGGAGGACATTATGCTGAGTGAAATATCTCAGTGACAAAAGGACAAATACTGCATAATGCCACTGTTGTAAAACTGGCCTAGTTTTAACTGCCAATATTGAGGTTCTCCAATGATTCCTTCCACAAATGTAGTCAATCTGAAGCCTACGCAGCCCATCAGGTGAGGTCCATAAAGCATAATGTTGTCCTTAATATCACATGCAAGTACTACTACTGATGATCATTCAAAAATAGGTAACTAGTAAGATGTATATAAAAGTCCAAAAGGAGAAGGGGAAGGGAGGAAAGGGGTGGAAAATGACGAAGGGGGAAAAAATCACACGTAGTTTGCAAAAAGTCGGAATCTACTTGCTGTAGATCTACTGCACCAAAAGGAACTGACTGACGTGGAAAGATTTCAGGAAGTATCATAAGAACAGGAGCCAATGGTAATGAAGGGGAAGTGGAAGCTGCGTTGAAGGCAATGGCAAAAAAATAAGGCTCCAGGAATCGAAGAGATAGCAACTGACTTGTTTTAATTAACAGATGCAGCTCTGAATATGGCAGGAAATTTAGAGGACAACAGTCTGGTCAAAGAATTGGAAGAGGTCCATATTAGTTCCTATTCCCAAGGAAGGTGATCCAACAGAATATAGAAACTATTGAACAATTTCATTAATATCACATGCAAGCAAAATACTGCTGAAGCTCATTAAAAAATGGATAACTACCTAGGACTAAAACCAAGGACTATAAACTTTATTACAGAAAAGCTAGGAACAACACTAGAAGTCCTAATCCACAACATAAACAGTCTTCCCAGTATCCTGGAAAACCTACAACCAGGAGAAGATAAC